TTAAAAATATCAGAGCTAAAATATTCATTTAACATCAGGTGAGCCGCAATTAAAAAAAGACATATAAAAAGTCAAATTAGAATTTTTTTTAAAGGATAGGGTGACAAACGAGCACAAAGTCCACCTGATGGTAAGTGGTTTCTGTGGCCCATAGAAATTTACATCTATCCTCGTTTGTGAATTAAAATGCATATGTGTTGTCACCCGTAAGGACTAAGATGGATTGCCACTTTTCGAGTAAAAAGGGTCTCCGGTTCTCTACACTCACCATACGAAACAGCGCAGTGTTAAGCTGCTATTTTACGATGGTATTCTGTGAGAGCATCGTCCTTCCCCGGTCGATCTGACCCATTCTTGCTACATTTATACTACTAATATAGCTGCAACATGGCTCTACTACGTACAAAAAATGTTCTCTTTTCATTGTTATGGGTTATAAAGTGACAATTTTTTGTTATACGTTTATTCTAAGAGAAGCTGTTTATTTTCGGGTATTAGTTTTTAGATGTTGAGTCTATACAGGTACGAGTTGTATGAATATACACTCATGAAATTACTATTTAGGCGCGTTGAGATTGTAATATATCAAAATTTGAAAACAGAAACATATGCAGATATAGAGAAAGAATATTAATATTGGTAGGGAAAGGTTGGTGTGGCAGAAGAAGCACAAGTTTTAATAAATACTGGTAAAATACGGTCATTAAAATTATTAAGGTGTAGGTGCGACTAAATGATAGGGGTAGGGAATTGTGTGATAACAGAAGTGTGGATTGCAAGACGATTTTAGGGCAAGGATTAAGAAAAGAGTACCGCGGTGATTTCGACACATTGAAAGAAGGAGTGAGAAATAGTGAATAAACAAATTTATGCTGCAGAAATAAGACTGTTTGTTACTTTTAAATAAAACTAATTTAACGGATTTTATTGCGCATATTAACTTATTTTATATTCCCGACGTTTCGAGCACTTTCCATTACCCATGGTCACGGGGGGGACTGAGGTGTATGACGTCCCAATGTCATAGTTAACCACGGCTACCTCCTGATTAAAAATTATTAATCTTTTTTCCGATCTACGCAGTATGAACTTACATGAAGTCTTGCAGTTGTATACTTGGGTTGGGATTTAATTTTTAATTAATTATGGGATCCCAAGCAGATGATAGCACCCAGCCATCTTCACTATTGAAATTAGGATGTTTTTTGATTTCAATAGCCTCGCGAATCATCCTTGGAAGGAATCGGTGTTCTTTAGCGAGGATTTGTAGTCTATCAAATCTAATGTAGTGACGGGGGCGATCATGTACGTGTTCACAGACTGCAGACTTCCCGGAGCGTCGAATCTTCACATCAGCTATGTGTTCGTGCTAAAGCACCCGAAACGTCGAGAATTAAAAAGTTAAATTAAACGCGATAAAATCCGTAAAAATTAGTTTCATTTAATGTGTAGTTTTCGCGTAAATATAAGAAATCATTATTTGAAATATGTTTAAAAAAATCCCTTTGGGTTTCTTGCTGGTTCTTCCCAGGACAGGAAAAATAAAAAATATATAATATAATTCTCTTGTAGAAATCATCGTGCGTGACAGGCAGACTGCGAATTGTCGCTGCGAATTATACTCGCAAATACACTCGCAGCGAATATTCACTTGAAATTCCTTCAAGGCAATCTACATCGCGTAAGTTGCATATACGAACGAATTCTGAAAAATTAAGCGATTATTTAAATTCCTTTTAATGACGTAATCAGTTAGTTTTAAATTTTAAGAGCCGCGGTAGATTGAAGCTAAGCCGCTTTCTATAAGTTTCACAGAAGACGATCAACTCGGGTTCGATTTCCGCTGGCACCGAGAAACTGTTATTTGCAATTTTAGGCGCTGATTCACCACATGCATGGTGCTAAAGGAAAACTCGTGAGGGACCCTGTATTTCTGACGAATAAAAGTATTTTATCATTATCATAGCATCTAAATATCTATTTTTTGGCTTAAAAAAAACTTCCACGAGCGTTTTTATTTTTTTAATTAAACTAAACTTAATTACTAAAGAAAACGTACAGACCTCGATTAAGGTGTACTGAATCTAATAAGATCAAAATTGTCTGCTTTCGTAAAGGTTTAGGGGGATGAAAAATTTATCGCTCCAAAACAATATATCAAAAAAAATTGGGCAAGTGCGTGTCGGGCCACTCACAATGTATTTCAAGTCTCTAGCACATCGGAAAGTGAGTCGCAAGATTCCACCCGGAACAACAGACAGACAAACAAGAAAGGGACTTAATAAAAACGTAGTAATTATAAGTATGCGGTAGGCTATTTAGTCGAGTTGTGTGCTTGTGACCAAAGCTTGTGTCGATTTCATGACGATCAAACTGTTTGATTGATATTAATGGGCATACAGTAGTTATCGATTTACTTTTTCCTCTATCGGCTGGTCCTTCAGCAGCACTGAATTAAACTTAATAGGTACAATTTTCATAATAAATACTTTATAAAAGACTCGCTTGTGCTGTTCCTTATATAAGCATAATAAATAAAATAGGACAAGAAACTATGACGTTTCAACATTGCTAGTGCGCTAGGGCGCAACTAAATAGTAGCGGATTGACTGTTTAGTCGAGCGCATATCGCTATTCAAAGATATACATTTGACACATTACATTTGAAAGATATTCATTCCATAATGACACTATTTGAAAAGGTCATATTGAGAACACATTTTATTAAATTGTTTTTTGTTTTTAATTTATACCTCATAAAAACAATCTAACTGTTCGAGTTTTTTTTAACTGGATTTATGGCTCTGGGTTCTAGTCCTTCTGAGCGTGAAGTTACAAACAGTTCAAGGGCTTGCGCCTGCACACAGAATACCATTATACTAGACTTTATATTATTTAAAAACTACTATTTACAGTACTCTGTGACTACTATTGTACGTATATTCGGGTGCCGGCCGAAATATGTTCAAGGTCGCACATTGTTTGTTCAAATATTCTCCCCGCTTTATTGATTTTCACTCGACAATTGCGCGGAGTGAGGTAACGTTTTCATGCATACATACTTCAAGGCGGCTACAGTTTTGTCTTTGAGTCTAGGACTTCCTGTTCCGCATCCGAGGCCAAAAGCTCTGTGCAAGCCTCCTCCACTACAGCCCTTCGGGCATCGATCTGCTCGAGCCGCTTCCCTAAACTATAAACCCGATCAGGTCGACCTATCAATATATGGGCGTTCGCGGCCCACCGCAGCTCCGCTTGCAGGCGGAGCGCCGGTTGCTTGTGCGACGGCATCACTAATAAATACAAACTAATGCCCAAAAAAAAAACACAAATCAAATTAACAAATAACAAACACTAGTACGATCAAATCAAGTTAAATACAAATAAAGGTACACACCACAGTCGATCTACAAATTTATCCGATTACGTGATAAGCTTATCTACCTAGTCAAAGTACCTAGTCTTAACAAACTACGGTAAGTACCTCGCCTTAACAAAACTCCCGCTTGCTCAACCTACGGGCGCGGCTTTCCAATCAACCCGCTAACAAACATAAAAAGCAAGCAACAAAAGAAAATAATTTTATTATTACGTATTAGGCCAGGTGATTGTAGACACAAATTAAACCAATCCAACCAACGCTCCCTGCTACCAAAAATGTTACGGCCTACAGCTGCCCCTGCAAATGTCGAATCAGCAGCCGCAGGTTCGAGCCCGAGTGGCTATATGGAAGAATTTCCTATAATACTAAGCTATATGGAAAATGTTTTATCCTACTACAATTTGATGGGGAGGCTAGTCAAATAAAGATTACTTACCTGTATATGAGGCGACTACTGTTTCAGGGCTCGGTCAGGCCGGAGGTGTGTATGTGTTGAGTATAGTGGTGTTTTTGGAGTGTTGGTTGTGATAGACCTGACTGGACTGTTGAAGTCGGCAGCAGCCCGGTCTTCGGCACCGCTCCAAATTGTGGTAATTTCCAGCGGGTCACCCACAGTCACTATCTCTCTTCTTCACTATGTAAGTCTATTAACTATACCGTAATTAACTAACTTCCAGACGCCACTAACACTCGTTTATTATAAAGCGTAACACACAACACGAACACCGAATGTACGGATCAAAGGTAACTTCCGTTTTGCGTGGCAACAATTATTTCTAGAACAATTCCGACGTTGATCGCAATCAATGTTAACTTTTTTTTTTTATAGGATAGCTATAAAAAAATATAACTTCCTAACAATTTGTTAGCCCGGCTTCTAATTCTAGACTTAACAAAAAACCCTCGTCGTGGCAACAATTTGCTAACCAAACCGACTCTCAAAATGGAGGTTTCCCGGGCGACTTCACGACGTGCTCTCGACAGCACTGTATTCTAGCAACCGTTCGACTCGATCCAGCCGCCTGGCACAATCCCCGGACGCGGGCCGCTGGCAACAAAACTCCCGTTAACCGCCCACACGTCTAACCGGTTATGAACGCGCTGTATCGAGCCGAGCGCCCTCCGGCGTCAAGTCTTGAAACCAACGTTTGGGCGTCAACAGGAGTTATTTTAAAGTCGAGTAAATTGATAGTCTTCTTGGTTTAAATATATTACTGCGAATCCTTATTAGTAGAAATAAATACTATTTTTCACAATTGAACTAGCAGACACATGATCTTGTTATCACTTCCTTGTACTCTGAATACAATCACAGCTTAGTTGATAAGTCTATTATGACAGGTATTGTTCCTAATGAGCGAAAAGAGGCACTTATTACCCCAATGCCAAAAATGAAAACCCATTCGAGAAAAAAGACATTAGGCCTTTCAGCATTTTGCCATACCTTGTTGAAACGATTAACATCTTGCCTTATTTCCAATCCGGGTTTCTCAAAGGTCCTGGTATAGCGACATTTGTGCTCGATGTCACAGACAACGTATTAGCTAAGCAAGATTCCGTTCTTGTAGTAACTTCTAACTGCTCAATGTGTGCCTTGTATGTTTTATAACGTAAAGTCACTTTAAATAGCTTTGAGTGTATTAAAAGAAATATACATACCAAGTAAATTTTGCCAGTTGAAATAAACATCACGGCGATAGCGTGTCGATACTAGATCGTCGAAAAATACGTTTAGGACGGACTGGTTTTCCAAGTCGACGACGTTACTGCAAATTGTTTTATTGAGTTATTACTTCCAAATAATAAATATACAAACTCAAAGTACAAAAAATTGTAAACGTAACATTTCTTAATATAGCGAACATAAAAAAAAAAACATGCTCCACAGAAAAATCATAAAATTGTAAAAAATATTACTAAGTCGAGAATTTTAAAAGTAAATTCTGATATTTCAAATGGTTTTACAATTCTCAAATATAGCGTTAATATTTTTAAGTTCTTATTACACTGTTTACTAGCGAGTACCGTCGTAAAGAAGTAAACCTAAAAAGAAGAGAGAGGGATTATAAAGTTCGGAAATAAATCTTTCAGAAATGTTCAGGTCATTTGTAAATAATAAAAACAATTCAATTACTGAAATTAAATTTATAGTAATTGTTTATAGTAATTGTAGTTGAACAGTTTCAGTTTGTATTTTGTAGATAGGTCTTGAAACACCTATGGACAAAACGAAGGTCTATTGAAATGTCCATGTCACACTGCCTGTAGTTGTTGGGAGCACTACACTCGTCACATATTCATCAACACTTGAAAATAAGAGTGTGCTATTTGAGGATATTGCCAGTAATGACATTGGATCTGAGACGTGATCCTTTACCGCTAGCCAAAGCTGAGGAAGAAAGGTTTTCGAGTGGCAGCCTAAATTTAAAATTTGTTAGTAACAATTGTTTCTAATATTTCAAAACTTTCTGAATAAAAGTAAAAATATTATTTAATTAATTATTTATTTATTTAATTTATTCTGAGGAATTGTACGGACTAATTCCAGCCGCTCAATTTCACCATCGCACATCGCGACAAAACTCGCGATACCATCCATATCATCTGGATGATTGGCGGTCCACCACTGTGCGATTTAGAAGAAGTTTTCTCCCTCACACAACTTCTTTGTGGAATCGATTACCACCAGCGATTTTTCCGGACCGATATGACCTAGGGACCTTCAAGAAAAGAGCCTAATCCTTTTTAAAAGGCCGACAACGCATCTGCGATTCCCCTGGTGTTGCAGTTGTTCATGGGCGGCGGTAGTCACTTACCAACAGGTGAGCCGCATGCTCGTTTGCACCCTCTCCTATAAAAAAGTGTTTTAAATGTCTTGCATTAAATAATATATAAAATAATACTAATAATATCATAACGATAATTATAAAATAAAAAAGGAGAAAATAAAAAAAAAAACTTTTACTCGACTGTTCTCAATTAATGTTGTGCACAAGATTGTGATAGATGTATGAGCGCTTACAAAAATGACAGTCCATTTAAAGGCAAGTTCGTAGCGAGGTTCCCTACAGCCACCTCCAATGGATAATCAAAATGCTCGCATTCAGGCAAACATTTGTACGACAGGTTCGACAAATCGTCTTTTGGCACTGAAATTTTGCAATTTTTTTTATATTAAAGATTACATTGTAGTATTATATTCCGTAATAAATAATAGAAAACAATCTTTTTCTTTTCGTTTTTGGTCAAATATTTTCCTGAATTGATTCATTAATGAATGAAAATACCAACTACAGTAAAACTTGGTTAAATGGGACCTGGATAAGTGAGAAACCTCCATAGCTGGAACTCATGCTTAGGTCCCGACACTTTAGCACTGATTTACCACTGTTAGTGGGACAAAACAAAGCTCTATATCTGGGATTAGTTCTTTCGATTTTATCTTCACAATTACCTCTATAATTGAGACAGCGAGTGTATTTTACCTCTTTTACTGAGACTATATTCTAAAGATTAGTCCTTTCGATTTAATTCGTCATAATTACCTCTATAATTGAGACAATGAGTATATTTTACTTCTTTTACAAAGACTATATTTTGTGCACAGTGTTGTTTACTAATTCTTATTATACCCGCAAATTCCTTATGCTACAAAATATCCCCACAATTCCAAAAAATCACTTGGCTAATTGTGTAATAGTGACCTCCAGTTTTAGTTTGCTTTTGCTATCGTCCGGATGTTTATGTATTATGTTTGCAAAATACGTTATTTTATTTAATAATCGCACATCCATAACTGAAATAATCTCTATTCTCACTTCTATTAATAGCACACTCTATTAATAAGGCAGATATTTATTTCTGACTGAATATCTGAGACACTGGGTAAGTGGAATACCTCTATAAGTGAGACAAATTTGCAGGTCCCTTAAGGTTCCAGTAATTCAGGTTTCATTGTATTAAAATTAATCAGTTCAGCTGGTCAACTTTCTGTCGATAGTCATTTGTTAGGAGAAAATGCATAACAATTACTATTATTTGCATATAATATCAGACAGCTTTAATTTATTGTTTAAAATAATAAATAACTACATTATACAATGAAAATTGTAAATGGTGCTTTTCCCTATGTTTTGGAAATTCATATGCCAAAAAGGCACATATTGCAATTCACAATTCTGTCGCTTAATATATATATAATTCAAAATAACTAAATGAATGCATTCGAGTATAATAGAGTATAATAGGGCTGAGACACTTGAACCACCGCCAACGATAAACGAGAAGCGAGTAGAGCTAGAAACTAAATAATAGATGGCGAGCAGTGAGAAGCAATTGTGTAGTTCAGATAGTTTGTCGCTAGGCTAAATCCGCACTGTATAGTAAAATGACCGCTGGTTAGTCTCTCGGCGTGAGATCCGACCGCCAAGCGAGTATCGCTGAGTGAGTTTTATCTTTAATCTAGTGGAGAGACAGTTCTGGTTGGCAGTGTGAACAGCCTGCGGTCAACTACTAAATATATGTATCTCTTTTATTATTGAGTGAGAAAAAATTTATACATTGGTAGAGCCACTCGGCAGCATTTGCTGTCGCACGGGTGGGCCGGCTCGAAACGGGGTGGTACCACGACCTTACAGAATACCAGCGTGAAGTAGAGGTTTACCTCTGCGTTACGCTTGGTGAGTGCAGGTGGCCGGAGGCCCTTTTTACTGGAAATGAGGCATTCCATCTTAGTCCTCACGGGTGACAACGCATCTGCATTTTGATTTGTAATAGAGGATAGATGTAGATGTCTATGGGCCGCAGCAACCACTTACCATCAGGTGGACAGTGTGCTTGTTTGTCACCCTTATCCTATAAAAAAAATATTATATATATTCTTCGCTATAGCTAATCGTTTCCTCGTCGACGGTCGGACAAGTGCCCTAGCCGTAGCGCTCGTAGATGCCTAAGAGCATCTACGAGCGTAGCTTAAATTCCATTGACGAATGAATGGCAGACGCTGTCGTTTCTAAAACAATTAAGTTTTTAATTAGTCCATCTCTTTGGATTTCACATACAATCACCTCTCAAAGTTAATGCTATTGAAAAAAAATTTGTGTATTTCGATTAAACGAAAAAAAATTCAGAATTCAATTTTTAATATCCTACGGAGAGTTGAACACGATAGATTTTTAATAATAAAGCTTCCCCTTTCCAATTTCGACGGCAGCAAAAATATTTCTTACCGTGCACTAGTTTGATGTAAAATATATTATTGCGATTTAGTTTTTAATTTCCATTAAGATTATGTTAGAGTGAATAAACTTTTGAAAGCCTATGTTTCAACTATATTTCAACGTCTTTAAACCTCTAGAATCCTGTATATATAATGTATATATTTCTAAGTGAGTATGTTTTGCGCGACGATCACGTCAGCATACATCACATAGCTGTAGCCTTGCTACGAAGCAATGCTACAGCTGTAACACGGCAGCTATACAAGTCCGGCTTGACTGCGAAGGACCATACTCACAGAATATTGGCATAAAATAGCAGTTTAATGCTCTTATGTTTATATGTTGAGTGCAGAAAATCGGATACCATGTTTACGGGTAAAAACTTGAAAAACACCACTCCCCCTTGCAAACAGCAATAATTTTACTTAGACATTTGGTCAAGCATTGGCTAGATCTCCTATGTAGTGTTTTGTTCAGGTCTTCCCTTACAAATAAGTAATCTGCTCTATCTTGCTTATTATTAATAGATTATTTTTATTTTTCTAAAAAGCATTCTAGAAACACTAGTAATACTAAGGTCATCCACTCCAATTAAGATTTAAATACATGTGTGAGGAGCGCCTGGAACTAGCGGAATACATACAACACTGTTTTATATACCGACCGACATAAAAAGATCGTCAGAGCGTTGCGTATATTTCAAGTGACGAGTATGTAATTTTATCGTTTTATTAAGTTTATTCGACGATATGTTGTCACAGTAGAAAGGTGTTTTATTTATTCTACAGAAAATTTACTACTAATCAAGAATACTTACCAACATTAAATAACGTAAGAAGCGACGGGGGAAACAAATCAGGGAATGAGTAGTCTTAATAACAGGCAATCTATGGGGAACGCTACATGTTCAGCTGTGGATTTCAATAGGCTGTACTAGTAATGGTAATATTTATGTAATTTTAAGTTGGAATATTTTATGTATTTATCACATGCAAATTTATTTACGCAGATAATGTTTATTTTTATATAATACGGGTGACAAACGAACACACAGTCCACCTGATGGTAAGCAGATGCAGTAGCCCATACGTAGGTCACTGAATAAGTTTTGAGATATACAAAAAATATTCTAGATATTAATAATATTTGTTTTTCATCTATTCAAAATTTTCTCCTTCATGGTCTATACAAAGTTCCATTCGCCTAAACCAACTCTGAAAACACTTTTGCCAGTCTTGATCTGACAGGTTGGAAAATCGCTTCTTTAGAAGGCAGCCACGCCTTCTTCGGCGCTTGAAATAAACTTGCTTTATATTTTTTCTTTGACTCTTGGGAACAAAAAGTAATCACAAGGAGCTAAGTCAGGGCTGTAGGGTAGGTGATTTATAGTTTCATCACCAGATTCCTCACAAAATGCTTTTGTTCTAAGAGAGGTATGTGAAGAGGCGTTATCGTGATGCAGCATGATTCCCCGAAGCCCGGTTTTGGTCTTCTCTTCCACACAACTTGAAAAGCTTTGGGTAATGCAACTGTATTATACCATTCAGAGTTAACTGACCTACAATTCTCCAGCATTGACATCGAAATATGTCCGCTCCGCGTAAAACCTAGCCACCATTTTTTTGCCGACGTGGTGAGGTCTTGGCAGTTTTGTCGGTAATTGTCCTTCTGAGTAGACCCATACCGATGATTGCCTTTTATTTTCCGGGTCATATTGATAGACCCATGTCTCGTCACCAGTATCGATTTCTGAAACACGCCTAGATGCCCCGTTTTCAAAACGTAGACGCAATTCATGGCACCTGTCCATGATCCATGGTCGGTTTTTCGCTTTCGGGGGGCAAACGAGGGATCCATCGACAACAAAGCTTCCTCACTCCAATATGTTGATGTAGGACGGTATGAATGATCCCCGAACTAATGCCTACAATCTTTTCAATGTCCTTATATGTGATTCGTGGGTCTTCTCGCACCAACATTTCAGTAGTCCATACATTTTCTGCCGTTACTGCTGTTTGCGGGACTCCGGTTATTTGGTCATCATAAAGATTTATTTTCATCATCATCATCATCATTACAGCCCTTCACAAGTCCACTGCTGAACATAGGCCTCCCCCAAGGAATGCCACAAAGCACGGTCCTGAGCCACCTGCATCCATCGACCTCCTGCATGTCTTACCAAGTCGTCACTCCATCTCGTGGGGGGACGCCCTACACTTCGCCTACCGGTACGAGGCTGCCACTCGAGAACCTTTCTTCCCCATCGGTTGTCGGTTCTTCGAGCTATATGGCCGGCCCACTGCCACTTCAGCTTACTAATTCGTTGGGCTATGTCGGTTATTCTGGTTCTACTGCGGATATCCTCATTCCTAAGTTTATCACGCAGAGAAACTCCGAGCATAGCCCTCTCCATAGCTCGCTGAGCGACCTTGAGCTTCCTCATACGGCCAGCAGTGAAGGACCACGTCTCAATTCCGTAAGTCATCAATGGCAACACGCACTAGTTGTACAATTTCGTTTTAAGGTTTTGAGGTATGTCTGACGAAAAGATGTGTCGTAGCTTCCCGAACGCTGCCCAGCCGAGTTGAATCCGTCGATTGACCTCTCGGTCGAAGTTGGACTTACCTAGTCGGACTATTTGTCCCAGGTAAACATACTCGTCAACAACTTCGAGCTTAGTGCTCCCAACAACTACCGGCATAGGTGTGACATGGACATTAAACATGATCTTTGTTTTGTCCATGTTCATCTTAAGACCTATCCGTTGGGAAACACTATTGAGGTCATTGAGCATAGTGCTTAGGCCCTCCAGCGATTCTGCCATAAGGACTATATCGTCGGCAAATCAAAGGTGAGTGATGTACTCGCCATTGATGTTGATACCGTATCCTTTCCAGTCCAGAAGCTTGAAAACGT